GTGCAAAATTTTAGTTTAAAAAATTCAAAATTTCATTGTCTCATGTGGAATTGCCCTATTGTCCTTTTCTGTCTAAATATTCTAGCCTTTTATAGCAAAAAAGGTTGCTATTAGATATTACATGTATTATTACTGGCTGCAGTCACACTAGGTGACTAAACTTACTTATTTCCTGAGTTAACTGATATCAAAATTAACTAGTTTAAAAAAATTGCTGGCTCGTAACTTTCATGTCTCAAATCTAACCCTAAGCGGTCATCATAATCCTGATTACACTGTACCGGTTAAAACTAAGACCTTCTTTGAGCAAAAACAAAACAAAAAAATGAATGCGAGAAACCCTTTTGTAACAAGACAATTGACTCCAGGATCATTGTATTAATTTTACAGTGAGTGTCCCACTACATCACTACCATAACAACATTATTGACATATTACTTAAAACTTCATGGACCCGCTTCTTCTGCAATATTGCCATCACTTACAGTGTATCTTGGGAACAAAAGTTTAATTATACTATAATTGCCTCATATGAGGGAATCCAAGACAGTTTTAGATTCTGGATTTCACGCTGCGGATTCCGGAACCTTTTTCAGTGGATTACTTGGTTTCTGGATTCCAATCGTTTGACCTGTGTTTCAGGTTTCAAAGCTCAGAATTTAGGATTCCGCAAAAAAAATTGCCCGAATTCTGGATTCCATAAGCAAAAATTTCCCGGATTCCAGAATCCCTTACATGGGGTGATCATAAAAAACAACCAGTGAAAGCAGGGTACCATGATCTAAATTCTAGCTACACTATGTTTTCAGCACCATGGCAGTCACTGCCTTTACTCCCCTTTTAAATTTTGGAAAAGCCTTTGGAGAAAGTAGGCACTAAAGGATAAGGTTAATTTTGGCCTAATAGAGGGGAATTAACACTTGCTTCAATTCTTATTAAATTTTCCAAGACCATTTATCTGAAGAGAACAACCAAACAAAAGATTACAGTATTTTTTACAACAACAGGACAAATAAAGTTTCAGGAGTAGGGGTGAGTCCTTGTTGATTACTGAATATTGGAATGCAAATGTAGGTATTATCAAATAGCATCATTAATGGCTTAAGAGTAACAATGAACTTTCTTATACTTACTGAGCATTTCTTTTACTCCCGATTAGTTGCTCCCTCAGCATTTGTTTGTCCTTGCATTTCTCCTGCCTCTTCTAAGAAGAGGCAGGAGAAATTAGTTAGTTTTACAATGTCTGGTAATTAAAACAGCAACGATTCACCCAAGTCTATTTACTAAGTACTAACGACTGCTTTTCTTGGATCCACTCGTTACTACTTGATCGTCGCCGATGGAGCTATCTAGATGTCTTTCATGGTGGATTTTCGTCGAAGGATCTATAAGTATGCAGTTCGATCCCTCGAGTTCGAGCGATTATTTTTATAAGTTCTTCGAGGACACATTCGTTGGATAAATTCGAAAAATAAGACCGGCCGATTCCTCCATACTCGACAGTCAACCCCACAAAGAAGGAAAATTCGAAACCTCTTGATACCGGTAAATATGGCGTTAAACGTACGAAGTAAAAGCTGATGGCAAGTCGATGGCAGTGGAACGTGGTAACGGTCGACGAATTTCAATTGTTGTGCCTCGTTCTCGAACGGTTATGGGTAGGCAATTCATATATGATTATTATTATGTACCTAAACATAGTTATTATATCTTACTATATATTATTATTATTACACTATAAACACCTACAGATAACAACATACATCCCTATACATCACCATACATCACCATACACTCCTTTACATCGCCATATACCCCTTCACTTCGCCATATACTAGGCATTTGCCGATTGTGCTAGTAAAAGTGGCATATTATGCTAGTGGCAGTGCTCGTTTTTTGCCCAAATTATGCTCAAATTATGCTCGCTTTTCAAAATTATGCTACTTTTTTAAAAAATTATTCTGTGCACAAACTTCACAACTCACAAGACAAGTTTGAAAATGTATTTTATTAACCCTGGCCACACGTTCTGGGCCCGGTTGTTCAAAACCTGGGTAACTTTATCCGGTGGTTGGGCCTATACGGCGAATAAATCTGCTATCCAGTGGATAGTTATCCAGCGAACAAAAGTAGGTTGCACTGCACAAAGCCTGGATAGTGTGGTGGATAACTATCCGCGGATAGTGACATTAGTGACATTACTCGTCCCCCTCCTCTTGTATTTTCCAGTGGTGGATTCGAGGCGTCTATCCCGGGCAAGTTGTGCAGGCTTTGGTCTATCCTCTCTGTTCTCGCAACCTTGTAAACTATCTGGATGTAAGTTCACTGCACTTGACTGGTTTGGCGTGGCGGCCGCCATTTTGAAACGAGCACTGGGAGAAAGACTAAGTCTGGGACCGAGACACAGACTTCCGGTTCCGTTTCATCCAACTCCCGCGGTATCTCAACACAAGTAAAAAAAAATCGAAAAATAGGAGTGGAAGCAACTGTTAATAGTAATCTATCGTTTTTAGTAGCTGAGATCTTCGTTTTCTTAATTATTCTAAAATTGTGCTATTAAGACAAGAAAATATACGGATTATGCTAGCAGTGCTACTTTTGGAAAAAGGGCAAAAATTATGCTCAATTCCTCAGATTATGCCAAAAATTATGCTAGCACAATCGGCAAGAGCCTACCAGCGGGGTGTGCTCGCATCCCAACCCCCACAGGCTACACACGTTCACTTCTTTATTGATTAACGTTCTAAAACAAGGTGATTTTATTTATATATTTAAAAGCGGCTCAATTGTTTTCAGAGTTTTCTGAATTGTTATTTCAATAGCGAATAGAAGATTTGACATGCTGATCCCAGCTCTTTAGCGTTATACTTGATGTACGATATTGTAGCTCTTTGTAAAAAGTTCCACTGTCACTCGGTCAAGATTGTTGCTTGCATCAGTCAACTCCAAGCCTTTTCATGAAAATTAGTGTTATGCAAGTCTTACGCCTGGTGCGAGATAAATGATATCATTCCTCGTTTTCCCCTGACAGTCTGTAGGGAGCAACATTATTACATGATTAAAGACGTAGAGTGGGCCACGCTGGAAACGAGAAGACGGAAGTCTAGATTAACGCTTATGTACAAACTAACACATGGTCTTATTGATATAGATACCCGAATATATACCCGGATATCGGGGACAGAATCGAAGTATTTATTTGTCGTTTAAAGCACCTATGGCGGGTGCCGGGAAAAACAAAACTGCAACAACGAATGTTAAATTTTGAACGAAAACACCAGTGCATAAAGGACTAAGTTACATTTCAGCATAAGATCACACTGGAAACGTAGAAGATGCGCGAAAATAAGCGCATTCGATACTGAAAACGGCGCGTTTTCCTGGAGAAAAAAGTTTTGAAACGATGGAAAACATCTCATTAACCGATGGGTGAACGTTGGGGAACATGCTGTTTCCCGGCATTTTCTAGTTGTTCGCTGCCCCAGAAAACGCGAGAAAACTCACGCAGAATGACGGAAAACGTCTGTGAATTCTTTGTTTTGCCACTTGAAAACACCAAAACACGCGATGTTAAGTCACTGGAAACTGCGGTGAACAACGGAATACGATCCGTTCCTCATGTGTTAACCGTATTTTTTCCGTGTGTTTTGCTTGTATTATCCGTGCGTTAACGGTCCGGTTAACACCAGTAAAACAAGCGTTTTCCTGGTGTTAACTGAGCCTGAAAACTATCGGATAATGGAACGAATACTCAAATTCACCGGCCAGAAAACGACGGGAAAAGAGTGGATTTTACGACCGGAAAACGCGAGAGAATTTTAGCAAAATGCCGCGTTTTCGAAAGTTAACCGAGGGTTTTCCGAGACGGTGAATGCCATATTTCTTGCCGTGTTATCTATAGAAAGTTCCCTCTTTCTTAAACTTAATTGTAATATATTCCTATACATAATTATTTGCGTTCTACTGATAGGTTTTCTTTATAGTCTTAAATCATTATGTATGTATTTTTATTTTATTCGCGCATTATTGTAAAAACTAATATAATGTACATTTGGTATTTGTAGCTATACATGAGCAGGAGATCTCAGCAAGCTCTGCTGAGCCTTTCAGAGGAGATTCCCAACTTTACTTATCAATTTAGTTACTAACATATTGTTTGCCACTTAATATTACAATATAAACTCTATCGAATTTTTAATAAAATGATGCAAGCTTATCAATGTTAGGAATTTTAATGTACTGTCACATGCCTTTCAACCTTTTAGACGTTCTTTTAATTCTTCCAATAAACAGAACTCATGATCATTTACTTCAACAAGTTAACTGCTTTTAAATGTAAGTAGCTTTATTTTGACGATCCGGGTAACCGAAATCTTTCGTAACATGTGTATTCCTTGGTAAGTCCATTTAACCGAAACAGAATGTTTCGTGGAGTCACAGCTACGATAGCATCAGCTTAATTTACACTTTAAATGACACCTGACCAGACCAAAGAGTCGTTACGTATAAGAAAAAGCTTTTCTATTTTGAAGAAAACCTTAATGTTTTCGTAGCTATTTCTTAAGCCAAAAGCTTATTATTATAACGTTTCTAACTGGCTTCCTTATTTTTTTTTTATTTAAGATTAACTCTATTTCCGTAGAACTATTTGCTAATTATTCTGGTCTTGTTTCTTTCACTGTTTATGTTTCAGAAAAGACCCAAATGGGCACTGTTCAAGAAGCTATTCACCTTGGCTTCATTGCCGCAGATTTTCTTTCAAACACTAAACGAGGTGTCCAGGCTATCGAGCTGTGGAACGAGTGCTTAACACTACTAAACAACAAAATCTTAGAAAACGAACATGAACTTGCCACAATAGTGCGTATAGCGCTGAACAAGAGGCTGTTTTATAGAAATGCTGCTATTACGAAACTTTCACCAGCTATAGAATCTGGATAAAAGCTTTTAGTCCTACTTCGTAATCTTAGGAGAAAAAAAAAGCGGGTAACACAGCCTTGATGTTATCAAAACTGTACTTTCAAAAAAGTGAATACCAGAAAGCACAAGCAGTCCTCAAAATTGCACTCTGCGTTTACAAAGAAATCGAAGACAAAGACGGAGAAGCGTCATGCTACGGAAACCTAGGAAATGTGTTTCAGTCTGTCGGAGAATATGCCAAGGCTGAAGAATATCTTCATAAAGCACTTACCATCAACACAGAAATTGGCGACAGAAACGGAGAAGCGTCATGCTACAGAAACTTAGGAGCTCTGTTTGTACTTGTAGGAGAATATGGCAAGGCTGAAGAATATCTTCATAAAGCACTTACCACCAACACAGAAATTGGCGACAAAGACGGAGAAGCGTCTCGCTACCTAAAGCTAGGAAACACATCTCAAGCCTTATCGGATCTCTGGTCAAGCATTCAAATTTACGAAAAAATGCTTACTTCTCTAGGAAGCAAAGATAGCCGCAATATATCATTTTTTGACAAGAACGCGTCTCCCTATCGGCGGTTTTGTTCATTGAGTTGTTTTTGTGGGAAACCCTATGAAGCTTTACACGCTGCTGAACTTGGACGGGCCAGAGCTCTAGCAGAACTTATGTCAAATCGCTACTCCATTGAAAAAGAAATATCCATCAACCCACAATCGTTTGTTGGCATCGCGGAAGTAATTAAGAAAAATGGCAACAGCACCTGCCTCTACATCTCCTATGACTACGATGACAATATATTTTTGTGGGTTTTGAAACAAAACAAACCGGTAGCTTTCCGAAGAACGAAACTTTGTGAAAGCTATGTTAGCAAGCATGGCAAAATCTCTGTGTCTGACCTGTTTGGAAACGAAAGCTTATTAAGAAAAATTCACGTTTTACCTCAAGAGCAATGCGAAGACCGATCACTCTTCTCTTCATTCGCCAACCAACTTACAAACGAATCAAATCTGGAAGATAGTCTCTCAACCTTGCGTCCTCTTTTAGATGAGGGAGAAGTATACACGGACCCTGAACCGCCAACACTTTTTCAGGTTTACAACATGTTGATTGCTCCCGTGAGTGACTTGCTAGAAGGATCTGAAATCATTGTTGTTCCTGATCGCTGCTTCTTCCAAGTTCCGTTTGCAGCATTACACGATGAAAGTGGCCGCTATTTATCAGATTCTTTCAGGATACGAATTGTCCCTTCTTTGACGACTCTCAAGCTCATTCTGGACAGTCCAGCCGACTCTCACAGCGAAACTGGTGCATTGATTGTGGGTGAGCCAAGGGTGACGGATGTGTATTTCAAGGGAGTGTTAAGAGCAACTCCATGCAAATGTCGACCAAAGTGCGGCAAGGCTCAAAAAATAAAAATCGCTCTTCTTTGGCATACTGATAGACTTTAGTAAGTGTACAAACGCGATATAGTTTTTTCTTCGAAAGATCTGTTCGTTTCCGAGAAAAACAAGAAAACCGTTTCAAGCCCCGCGGTCGATTTCGCAAGCAGAAAACAGGGTTGAAATTCACTATGATTCGCTCGACTTGCATTTCAAAACAACCGCGCTAGAAAAAAAGCTTGTTGCTAAAATTGTAAGTATAACTAGTCGTTGACCAAAATATATAATATTTTTAGCATTACAACAGTCTCAGTAATTATAAAAAAGCTAAAGCGTATGTCTACCTGTTGTTCAACCACGGAAGGTAGTTGAAAAAAGCGACGATTTTCGTCATGTGCCTTTGATCAGAATTTTTCAAGATTGAAGGGGTAAACACTACAAGCATCAAACTATTATGTTATGTTAAAATTATTTTGGGGAAATCATTTTGAGCTTCTCAGAAATAATTTGAAATTCGTGTTACAGACAACATAAAATAACGGCATCCAACACACGAGTCACACAACCACCACCAACAATTTGACTTTAGGTTTCCTTTTACGACGCTGGTAGCCTTGATATATAGAACAACTTTTTAAAAAAGCTCACCTTAACCTGTATCTGTTGTACTTCAAGCTCCAAGTTGTTTCATTTTGCCGTCTTATCACCTATCTTACCGTAGTCGTGAAGTCCGCTGGAATGTGTCCGTTGAAGGTGCGTGACAGCTTTCTGGTAATTTCTTCATCCCTCTGTTTTCTCTAATGTTTTCAAGTTAACATCTCATGTTTGTTAAAATTTTGAGAACCCTGGACCTTAAAAAAGCCGTCTATAAAACAAAGCTCGGTAGTTTAACTGTCAACAAAGCGAAGTTGTTTGCTCGTGGATCCGTTCACTTCACGGGTAATCTGATTTGCATAGGAGTGTGCCAAGGGTCTACTTCCGGTGCCGAGTATACACGTGACGAGGTTCACCGACTTTCACCCGTTACTTCCAGTACACTGAAGAAGATTCATCTTTTATACTCCTCCTTCTTCAAAAATACTGCAGTTGACATTATTTTACCTGAGAATTATCTTTAATATTTTGACATTTTAGGCATTTGATTAACATTATCGAATTAAATTTAGTTTATTTTGATTCAACCGTTCATTCCCACTTGAAAAAGAAAAAAGATCTCTGCAAAAACACTGTTTGTGTGCGCTCTTCTTCGATGAAGCTATGGAAGGTTCGTGCTCCTCCGAGTCATTAGTAGGTACTCTGTGTTCGTTTGATAGGAGGGATAAGCAGAGATCAACTGAGATTGTTCCTTTGTCGCTGTCAAACTATTAAGGACGTAACTGGGCATAGGTTGACTGACATGGTCTCTTTCTGGTATTGAAAGCGAAACAGACTTTATTTTAGCTCAGAACTGACCAGCCAGACCATTCCCGTCGCAATGATAATTTCCCTTTTAATCAAACTCTTCAGCTAGATCAGTCAAATCCGCAATGGTATACTCGAAAGAGAACGTTTTTAGGCAAAACTCAGGCAAAGGTCCAGCCGGCCAGTTCTGACAAATGGAAAGCGCCCTAAGTTCTTTTAATATATCCCCTTTCCATCGTTCTGAGCTCGGTATTGGATGGCGACGGAACAGTTATTCCAGTTCGTGCCAAGTTCCACAGGAAAGCGCCAATCACATAATTGAAAGAAGAGGGAAACCTGTTAAAGCCGACAAAAGAGTTAGAGGAAGAACATTTCAGAATATATTTATCAGCAAACCGGTATCCTCATTCCTGTAGGTTCAGGTACTCTTGGTTTATTCACTGTATTATATACTAATTAGTCACTTAGATTCAATCCACGAATACTGTATAAAGTTTATCATAGTTGTCAACTCTCTTAGATAACCCAGAGTCTCCCGGGTACGGTACCAATCCACCTAATCTGTCCGATACTATAAACCTTTCACTTTTTCTCTTAGTTTGAAATTAAACCCGATTTCCCCCAGAGTAAATATATAGATATATATATATATTTTTTAAATTTAAAGATCATAGTCCAGTTCTGATGGCATTTGTTGTTGTAGTTTCATTTTTTTTTTTATTTTTTTTTTTACATTTACTTCAAACGACTGACTTGTTCCTCATTCAAGCCAACGTGTGGGGAAATGGCCAATGACGAAGCCATTGACTTCAAGCTCAGTAGCAGATGCGCTTGCAGAATGTTACAAGAACGCAGGACACTGGGGATCACGAAGAGAAATCTTATCTATTAGGGACGGACCATTAGAAGAGTTATGGGGAGGGTGGGGAATTTTTGTGCCATGAAATTTTTTCCTTATCAAATTCCTTCATGAATTTCAGTTTTAGGCCGTAGCATGAATATTTTTTAGGGTTAATTGGCGTGCATAAATTTTTTTCATTTAATTTTGCCTTGCGCGAATATATATTTTTTTTGTACTCCACCGCCGCCCTCCCCCCCCCCCCCGCTCCCCAAAAATGTTTGTTTCAATTCACGAAAAGTGGCATTTAGCACAGCAGAAATTACATTTGTCATATATTAAGAAGGCACTCTGAAATACCGCACGTGCAGGCCAGAATTGCCCACGTGCAGCCAACAACTGGAAGTTCCATCTGTGAAGATGGGAAGAAAACATGTACACAATTTTTTGTTAAGACATCTGTTGATTTGATAATGCCCACGTCTCGAAGCAATGAAAATTTTTATTGAGGCTACCAATTAAATTCTTCATTTTCAAAAATTTTATATTATACCAGGTTGTACGTTTGCTTTTCGCCTGCTATTAGCGGGTCCAGACCCCGGGCCCCGGGATCTTGACAGCTGTAATCTGATATTACTGTTGACAGTAATTTGCATACTGAGTCACAAAACGTTCGCATGGGCGCTTTATCCTTCAGATTGGCGCTTCCTTCTGCGGTGTCTAGCAGCATTTTGAGACAAAAGTTGTTGACAGATAAGGAAGAGAGGGTTTACTACTTGTTTACTAAGCGAACTTCGTTAGAAAGCATGCCTGTTGGTTATGAGTCTCAAACAGAGTTTAATATAGAATGGCAAATTTGAACAGATGGCAACGGGAAACATTTTACATTTTGCCGTAAAACTAGACCTGAAACAAAGAACAGGGTGAGTACTTTAACATTTAGAACTTTGTGCGTGAATATTACCAAACCTTTTTCCGAGAGACGTTTCATGACCTTTGCCTGGTCGACTGACGATGGTCACGCATGTGTTAAGATGGCGTTACTTTATGTTGTCTGTAAAACGATTTTCAAATAATTTCTGAGAAGCTTGAAATTATTTCCCCAAAATAATTTTTGCATAACATAATGGTTTGATGCCTGTAGTGTATTTGCCTGCAATCTGAAAAAATTCTGATCAAAGGCACATGATGAAAATCGTCGTTGTTTTCAACGACCTTTCGTGGCTAAACATCAGGTAGTCGTACGCTTTAGCTTTTTTATAATTACTTAGACTGTTGTAATGCTAAAAATATTATATATTTTGATCAACGACGAGTTAAACTTAAAATTTTAGCAATAAGTTTTTTTCCTAGCGCGGCTGTATTGGAACGCCAGTCCAGCGAATCATGATGAATTTCAACCCTGTTTTTGGCTTGCGAAATCGACGGTAGGGCTTGAAACGGTTTTTTTCGTTTTTCTCGGAAACGAACAGATCTTTCGAAGAAAAAACTACATAGCGTTTGTATACTTACTAATGTCTACCAGTCTGCAAAAGAAGAGCGATTTTGATTTTTTGAGCCTTGCCACGAATCGGCGATTTTGGTCGATTTTTGCATGGATTCGCTCTTAAGGTATCTCTGTCCATTGCCTGGCGCGAAAGGGGAAGCAGAGATGATTGCGAGACTACTACCTGAATCTCACCTTTTAATAGGAGAGCAAGCAACAAAGCAGACGGTTCTTCAGAGAATACCCTCAGTGAGCCTCGTACATTTCGCTGCTCATGGTGATGCCGAAAGAGGAGAAATTGCTCTTACCCCCGCTGACTCCACAGTGGAGTTTCCACACGAAGCAGACTACTTACTGTCAATGACCGACATTTCACAAGTTAGACTGTCAGCCAAACTGGTGGTCCTTAGTTGTTGCCATACCGCACGTGGACAGATCAAAACAGAGGGCGTTGTTGGAATCGCTCGAGCATTCTTAGGATCGGGTGCACGCTCAGTGTTGGTGGCATTGTGGGCCTTACAAGACAGAGCAACAGAGGAGTTCATGGGAAGATTCTACGAAAACCTTGTCCAAGGGAAAAGTGCAAGCGAAAGTCTTCACCGGGCCATGAAGTGGATGCGAAATAACGATTTCTCAGAAGTGAGGCAGTGGGCACCTTTCATGCTGATTGGGGATGACGTGTCATTTCACTTTGGTGAAGAAAAGTGAGGGTAATTGTTTTCTGACAATTAGAGCCATAGGAAGTCTGTCAGGTCTTTTTGTATTACAGTTTTATCAACTTGGGTGCATTTGGTACTTTTAAGTACCAAATAGAAAGCAGTATTTACCCTTAAAAGCCACATTATTGACTACATCTGAAGTTAGCTTTTACTATGACTGAGATAAAATATCAATTAACCGCTTTTTAACATTCGACCACACCTCTGTACTTATCAGTCAACCCGTGCATATGCGAGACTTTGCATTTGAAAAAAAAAAAAAAAAACACTAAGCCCCGAATCCCTACAACAACACACAATGATTTAATTCTTTTCTCTCTTTTCTGATATATGAGGCACAAATAATTCAATATTCTTTTATTTGCTACGGTTCAATATGATCGTGAGGTTTTGCTGACAAACTTTTTTCTTTCTGAATATAATAGGAAGAGAATTCCAGTTATGAATCCGAACCAAACAGCCCAAGGAAGGTTTTTGGTTGATATAAAGATAATCGGATCAAAAATATTATGGCGGAGATCTAGATCTCAGAATTGATCGAAAACACTGCAAAGTACAAATTATGGACTGTGTATGGAGTCTTGACCGTAACTAGAGGGCTTTTCGCTGACACTGACTGAATTACACAAGAATACTGGTTCTAAACTTGGACCAAAGAGGGAAGACCGAGATTCCATAGGTCATCAAGGCAAGAAGTTTCAAACCTATTTTAGCTGTGCACCCTACATTTCATTTGTGATGCCAATTGATTGGAAAGTTTTAGCGGTGAGATAAACTCAAATAAGTAAACCTCTTCCGCCACGACAAAGCCGGAGGATCCCTCCTCCATGTAAAATGAACCTAAATGCCACTTAGCCCAGCTGGAGTCTTTTGTGTTGAGTAGATGTGTTTTATTAATTTTTATGTTTCTTATACATTACTGTTGCAGGTATTACACTAACGACACACCATGGAATAACGAAACAGCCCTTCGGCAGAATTCCAATGAGGTAGTCCCTGGCGGATAATGTAAAGGATCAATCTCTGCAGCATACGAACATTGATTAAAAGAATTACTGTGAAAGAGAACTGACTTGCTTGGCCCAGCGGTTTATCTTTGCCGGCTTAATTATTTTTCCCACTAATCTTATTTTGTGTGTGTGTGTAGGTACCTTGAGTACTCTCATCTCTAAAATGTCTTGAAAAGCTCAAATCACCAGCTTTGTACATGTAGAAGTGTACATCGGTAGCTCGGACAATGATAAAACTGTAATTGTGACACGAATAACGTTAGGATTAGCTAATTTCCCTGTCTTTTTAGGTAAGCTGCAAAAAAAACCTACTTCCTTAATTAGTCCCTAAGGCTACAAATAAAAAATACCTTTTAGGTAAACGAGCTTTTTATTATCGCAAATTGAAGTTTGATTACAATGCAAACAACATTGCAAGGTTTATAGTTTAGTAGAATTGTATATATTTTAGAGCCAATCTTTTTGTGAACATAGAAGCAGTAGTTTTGCAACCTTGCATTATGAAATAAGGTTTGACGACTCAATTAAGTCAAATAAAAGCCTAGCGAAACCAACTTGTCCTAACTCCAAAACTAGCCCAGTTGTAAACTTAAGGTTATTTCATGGTATAATGTTCATGCCTGAGCATAGGTTAGTATGTTAGTATAGAAGACCAATATTTGCTTTGAGTATGATGCAAAGATTTGGTGGTCCAGTTTTCAGTAGTGCTTTGAGTACGAAAACTAATTTTAGTAGTTCGAACAGCATGTTGCGTATCCGAGAAGGTCGCACATGGAGGTTTGATTGTAATCTGTAAATAATCTCACCAAGTTTGTTAAAATAAAGCGTATTGACATAGCAAATTCGTGTTTATCCTTAATTATCTATTTTCTCTTTAACAAAAAATATTTCCTACAATATCGGAGAGATTTAGAATCCATTCAGGTCAAACGGCAACGTCAATTTTTACGTGACCAAGGCATCAGTCTTAAAAAATAAATAACTAAAATTGTAATCTGTAATTTGTTTTCCCACGGAGCACTTAGAGGTTATTAAGAACTCGCTTAAACGAGTCCGTGCGTTGTTTGCGGATCGAATTGGAATTTGGAAAGGTTGGTTTTTGGAGAGAGGGGAAAGCAAGAGCACCCTAAGAAAAACCTATCGGCAAGGAAGAGAACCAACAACAAACCTATCCTTTCATATACCTGAAGCATGAAAAAGGTACCCCTTTCGGTCGGAGCCTCCCCATAAAGGCCATTATAGGGAGTAACCCCGCCCCCTGCGGGGGGAAGGGAGGCAAGAGCCCTCACCACTGCGCCACCCTTGCGCAGTTTTCGTCAGAAGCCGATTCAGTTGTTGTATCTACACAAAAAAAGTTAGTAGTTTCATGTCGATCAGTCTAATCCGTAACAATTATTTTGCAAAGTTTGTACCTGTTCATTTCCTAATTCAAGAAATCGAAAATGTCACCTTGGGTCTAATGTTTCCCGTTTGCCGTGAACGCGACTCTAAATCGCTCGATTTTCCTTTCAACGACTGGAATCCATAAATTTGGTCTCACAAAGGTTACTGCCACGATCACTCCCGTCGATTCGGAGTCGTAGAATTACGTTGACGACAAAGTCGGAACATCAGGTTCAAGTATTACAATTACTCAAGTTAGGAAATCAACAGATAAAAACTGAGAAAATTAAATTATCCTTATGGATAAACCTGCCATGAATGTCTTTATTTTGGGGTGGTAAAGATGAAGAAAAAGAAAGCTTAGCAACATGTATAAAAATGGCGTTAACTGTAAACGTGATTCCAAATCTCTAGACGCCTAGCCTGCGTTCGCATCGAAGTTCTCCAACGAACCAATGGGGCAGGAATGGTAACAATTCTTTTCGGTCCGTTTTACCATCCCTGCTTTACTTCCAAAAATCCCTAGCTGATCCTTTTCTTTAACTACCGTTCATCCTTTGCCCAGATACCAGGAAATAAATTTAAGACTTTTCCAGACTTTTTTCCAAAACCATAATCTCTTTTTCCAGACTCGTCCAGATTATAAAATAGGTCAGTGATCAATAGAGACCTTAAAAAAACGCAGGAACAAAGATTTTTTCATGATAGGCTGCAAACATACGGGCGAAATTAAATAAGATTTGACCAAAACGAAAACATGTCACTTATAAAGCACTATTTGTTGTAGCTTTGAGAAAAACTCAATGCAAGATTTTTTTACTATTTTTTCAGACTTTATCTCCATTTTCGAGACTTTTTTCAGGTCTGGAAAATTGCTGAAAATTGATGCTCTGTACGATCCCTGAGTTTTGTACAATGTATTTCACTCCATAACTTGCACGAGTACACCACCGTACAGAGAGCTACTTCGGGTCCTATCGGGGATGGATTTTGATTTTCGTCACTATCCAGATCTTGGTAGTACTTCTGATTGGTTGAAGCAAATTTTTAACCAATCAGAATTACTACCCAGATCTGGGTAGTGACGCGTCATCAGTATGGGATTCTGCGCTCGTTTCTCAGACGTCACTTCGCGGGCAAACCAGTGGTGGCGTCCCCATTTACGAGTGGAAATGCCATGACATTTGATGCGCGTATCATGGCAGAAAGGCTCTACGTACGCGTGACAGAAATTAAAGTAAGGTGATTATTGGCCTCAACCAAGTGCACAAAACCTTTTAGCCAGGCGGGAATGAGGGAAGCTTCATTAGAGATTGAGCTTTTTGCCAGGGTGCCGAAAACTTGAATGAACACTGGCTTACAGGAGCTGTGGCACGAAAGAGAGAGAGCCGCCACCAAAGTGAGTAAAACGTAAAATAAAGCTTCGAAACACTAAGTTAAGGAATGAAAACACAGCAAATCTCTGACAAAAGAGGCATGGATGGACAAACATGAAGTAGATTGAAACGGATTATAATTGTGGTTTTTCAAAACAGTTTTTCAAAGTTCGTTTTTTTTGTTTGCAACGTTTGATATGCATAATGCTTTGGGGAGATATTTCATTGTTTGATACGAAGCTGTGAACTTGTCATTTTCAGGGAAAATCCTGGCTATAACGTAATGTGTACGAACTCACGAAAAGAACTCAGGAGAAACTGTTCGCCGATTGGGCACAATAATACAAAGCATTTTTTGTACCCAATCAGGAGCCGGCATCCGCTTGAATTTTTGGAAATAGTTCGGTGAGAGTCGGTACCAAAGTCTCTTAGCTGAGACATGATGGAATAACTAGTAAAACAACATGACTGAATTTCGTTACTTTCTGGATCTGCATGGTATTAAAAATTTCGCGATTTGGGAAAAATCGCGAAAATCGCGAAATTTAACACTCGCGAAATCATTATGTATATACAGAGGGGGGGGCACAAGAGTTGGGGGGGGGTCTTAAAGGTTTTTCAAGGGAAAAGTGGGGATGGTAAAAATTTCTGAAGGCAGGGAGGGGGGATGCTAATTGATTTTTAGATGCCACTGAAAGATCAAATTATTTGCAACATTGTTGAAAACCACTACACAAGTAAAGTTTCTCATTTTTTAGTTCAGTGAGGCTCGGATGTTTTATTATTAATGCACTAAGCTGCAATGTCTTTTACTTACCAGCACTATCGACATAATCATTATCTCCTTTCCTTTTATCCAGCTTTTCTAACGTCACGGATTGTTTCATTGTCATCAATATCGTTATCATCATCATCATCATCATTATCATCAAAATTAACCCACCTTTCTCTCTATCAGTGCTTTTAAAGTTCTGATTAAGTCCCCAGGTTCTATGTACGCAAAGATTTAAATCAACTTTCGCAACTTAGAAGGAGTGAAATGATCAGTACCAAGACGCTACGGAGCGTACACTTCGGCGTCGTGATTGTGGAACTAATTAATTGTAAATGCGGAGGAATAGTAAGAAATCAAATATAGTAAGAGTAAGGGGTTAACTTGTGAAATTATGGGATTTCTCAGGATATTCTGAAAAGAGCAGCATCCAAGAGGCCTACTTGCC